ATAAATATATATAAATGTATAATGTTATGAGATTTAAGCTATTTAGTCTAAACATTTATGTTTTCTTCTTATAATGTGTTGTTATTCTAGAAAAAAAGAGGCATAGTTTATATTTATTTCCTAAAATTTTTTTATAGTGGTTAGAAGATCGATTAAATCTACTGAACCCAAACAGATTCGTTAGTGAAAATAACAAATAAAATATTAATTTTTTTTTCTTAAGAAATGTTTGATAACTATTTGGACATTATAAAGATTTCACATTTGAAATATGAACATTTTCTGATGCATAAAAGTATTTTTAATCTTAACATGAGAATTACTTTGCATGTTGGATAGGCAATATGCAAAAAAGAAAAAGAAGGCAACAGAAAAACATTGCTTAACAAACCTTAAGACTTTTTTTTTATAAAAAAAATTATATGTTGCGTATGAAAGCATTGTAATGTTTACTGATAACCTGCCTAATTTCGTTAACATACGCCTACTAATTCAAAAGTTGTAGCAAGCACAAAATGGTTTCAGGGTCGGTCCCAAGGTCCAAGCCCATGCTGAAAAAGAGTTATATAAGATAGCTAGATGTCCTTACACTACCATATAGTATCTAAAACAAACACTAGATGTCAGTTTATTTATTTGGTTGGGCTATTAAGTACCATAAAAGCTTTTTCAGATTTTCTGAAATCAACACAGCTGGAACTTACAGCAATTTAATTAAGGTCTCAGCCTATAACTGATTAAGTCTAAGCTAATACAACAATATAAACATGTTGCCATGGTAATTTTCACCCCTTGACATTTCTAGACACACTAAAAATGTGTATAAACTTTAGAAATCTGTTTTCATCAAAGTTAACATTTTTTGTGATAGCAGTCGTTATAGCACAGAATTGATACAAAATCAATATTTCACCAAGTTAGAATTCTCATGAGAAAGATGTAGTTCTTATTGTCTAAAATAAGTGGTATGACTACATAAGTAATAAGTTTTTAAAAACTTTTCAAAACAGGCATCTTGTTTACTGATGCTTAAATTTATTTTCTGAATATGGTTATAAATTATTAAAACTATTCCAATTTACTTAAAAAATTTGAAATGTTTGTATTTATTTTTTAATTTTTATATCAATCACATTATTAGAAATAGAGCTATAAGCTGTAAAATTGCTGGATTATAACCTGACTGTGTTTGTCATTTACAGAATGTGTTAACAAGTATTTAACTTTGACTCACTTAAGTTACTTTTTAAAGATATACCACAGTTTTATTGAGTTGTTTAATAAGTAAATCTCGCATAAAATTAGATAATTTCAGTTAAGGCTACTGTTTAATCAGTATGATAGGTGGCTGCAAAATATCCTGATAACTCAAATCTTTACCTCTGCTACCAAAGGTGGATGGAGGTTATGTTTTCCCCCTGTGCATGTGTGTTTGTCAGCAAACTTTCTCAAAAATAGCTGAATGGATTTGGACAAATATTGGTACACATTTGGACTATGACCCAACTTAGAAGTGGTTAGTATTTGGAGAGTAGAGTTCAAAGCAAAGGTCACAAAAATCCAAAAAATCCCGATCTGTTAACATGGGAACAAATTTTTCACACTATTTTTGCTCTACAATTCAGTCAAAAATGATTGGATTTTGAAGAAACTTGGTGGACATATATAGAATATTATTCCTCATTGTCCTGCCAAAAAATGGTCCATGTCCATTGATAATGACAAACACACGGACACATTTTCGTATTTGTTGAGAGCCAGATATGATAAACACAGCATGGAGGAGGCATGCGCTCTACTGAGTGCCCCTCTAGTTATTGAATATTTTTATGTTTATCCTATTGAACCAACATACATAAATGAAGGCTGTTTAATTATTATTTATTACAACCTTGATATGTTTTGAATACAAACATTGTTACTCTTACTGGTTATGGTAAAATTTATTTCATTATTTAATCATTAATTTATGTGATTTACAGAATATCAGTGCAGAAATACTGTATATTTTATACACAAACATAATGAAAACCCTGTGGTTGTATTGTATTGCCATTAGTGATTTATTCCTTAAGGAGAAAATGTTGAGATTATCTTAAAAAAATTTGTACCAAAGGAGTTTTCCCAAGTCGAAAAATATGTCTTAATAAAATTCGCAAATGATGATCTTCAACAAATGCCTTTCACATAGAAGCAAGAATAATTAAAAAACTACTGTTAAAAAACATTGAAATTTGTACACCCCTGGTTTTGTTGTTGATTGTACAGAAGGTAAGAGAGAGTGCATATAATTGGTTAGCAAATACCACTAATGTATAGTAGTCTAACTATAATAACAGAAAAATTATTTGCTGCAACTAGTGTGGTTATTGCATACTTGACCACAGGTGGAGTCTTCTACACCTCTGTCCCCAAACTGTGTATATTAAAAATAAAATAAAATGTTTAAAGTACTGCAAAAGCAAAATAAAACAAACAAACTATACAATCTCACTAAAATCAACACTGGAATGTGGTGAGTTTTCATAAAGCATGTATTTTTTATTCTACAAATCTCACACAACAACAAGGATGGTAATTCTTCAAAGGAGCCTAGTAACAACTATTTACAGCAGTGGTTCTTAACTTTTTTGAATAAACTCTTCTGGCATAAAATTTGTGTCACAAACCCTTCACAGCATTCATTACAAAAAAACATTACTGCAATACTAGTATCTGTTTGTACCTAGTCTTGCTCACCAATTTAAAACAATGCAGTGACTTTGTTTATGTTGTGTCATTATAAAACCTACTATATTTAGGAAGAATGTCTGTCTGGATTTCTGTTGAGGATTCCACAGAACCACAGTTGAAAAGCACTGGTCTACAGTTATACACAACAGTAAAGATGATAATTCGTCAATACCAACCTAGTAACAACTATCTTCAGTTATACACAACAGTAACGATGATAATTCTTCAATACCAACCTAGTAACAACTGTCTACAGTTACTCAAAGCTGTTAGGAAAATTTTCAATACATGCCTAGGAAAAACATGCACAAGTTTCAAAAAATAACTAAGAATGATTTTTCATTGCCAATTTTAGTCTTATACATCCGGACATCTTGTTAATTTTTTTTATATTAAAGTCCCCACTCCTGTCTAAGATAGTAAAATTTCAGACATAAAAAATATGTATTTTGGCCTACAGTTCCCACACAATAAAACAAAAAGACATTGGGTTTGTCTTTCTTCTGATTTTACAAAAGTTAAACAGTCTTGTCATTCCTTTATATTTCAACCAGGACTTTGCAAAACAATACCTTTTGACAGTCCTAACAGAGAGATTTGGGATTAGCGCTGCTCTTAACAATTTTACAGAGACCACATGTCAAAATATTTCACAGAATTAAGAGTTTTTGATCAATTTAGAAAATATTTTGCATAAAGATGCCTTGCTTTAAACTTTACAGATGGAACAAACAGATTTGAAAAAAAAAGAAAAAAAGGTAGCTTTGAACCTAAAGACATTGTTTTGATTCACATAATGCATGAAATAGCACATACCACATCAAAGGTCTTATATGCCAAAAAATTACTGTTAAGTTTTGGTCATTGTAAATAAACCTATCTATGCAGAAACTGACTGTCCTATATAAGGTCAGAACTTATTACACTCTAATTACTTTTTCTCAAACACCGGCATCACTATGTTAACTGTCTATCCTTCTGTAGTATATATGTTGCAGTTCATGCCCCCTTCCGCTTGAGTTGAATATCATTTTCTCTTGAAACCTACTATATTCTGAGCAGGAACATCGAGAGCCAGCACGGGCCCTCGGGCAAACATCCTCGCCGGGCCCCCTTTCTCTATCTCTTTTTTAACATTTTCAAGAATTTATCAAAAAGAAGATCCTAAGTTAGGACAGCAACGAGCTCATAAACCAGAAAAAATCATAGCAGCAGCCATTTTTACCTCACAGTATAAGCATAGAAACGTTAATCAAATAACAACAAATATCTATTAATTCTATAAAGTAACAAATACATATTAATTAGTACTCAGCTGTTCTTAATGTATCAAGCATCTATATGCAAAGAAAAGCCAAAAACTATGGTTTTTATCATTAAATGAAGATATTGCCTAAAGATGCTTTGCGGGCTTTATGGCATAACCAGGTTTCATTTGCCCGGGCCCCTGGGCAGTTGCCCACTCCCTGTAGGCAGGCCTGACATCTTGTTGAAGAACACGTATGGATGAAACATACTGCATTCAAATTTGATGACAAGGAACCCACTTTATAGAAAATAAAAGTTTATAAGATAGTATACAATAACTGTCCAGGATTTTACGTTGGACAAATTGGAAACCAGATTCAACAAAAATAATAATAATCCCACCCACATTTATCACCACTGCAACTCAAAATCTCTCAGTATATTTATACAAAACATTGTAATTTAAACAAAGAACCAAGCATCAACAAAGGCAAATAAAGGAAGCTTTCTTAATTGAACAAAACAGGCCTACTCCAAACCAACACCCCAGGGTACCAAGGTATCTTAAACTAAGTTGTTAAGCAATCTCCAGTCATATGACCTCTTTGTTCCATACTGTATATATATATTCCTGTGCCTATGTAAACTGGTTGACATAACCTTGTCAACATGTTGTAGATTTATAATAAAGTTTTCTTCATTTCCCATCCAAGCCATCCCCAAACTTTTACATATTGCATTTGTTTGTCATTTGTCTTCGTAAATAAACCTATTTATACAGAAACTGACTGCCCTATATATTATAAGGCCATAACTTAGCATAGTTTATGTTCCTTCCCTTGAATACCATCCTCTCTTTACATATACTAAATTACAAGAATATTATCAAAAAAGGTGGATGGGGAGAGACATAGTTGCCTTTCTAATTCAAGGTGTTTTTATACATAAGTTATAATACTCAGAACTATAAAAGTGCATAAGATGCAGCAATAAATTTCTGTTTATAACTTAGATGTTTTCATTAACAACACAGGTAGATTAGTTATTACACTTAGATAAAACCTTACTTACCTCTAGTATGTTTGCTACGCTGATAACATCCTGTCGAGCAGAAGAAACAGCATGAACTCGACTGACTTCACTTAGCTGAAGGAGAGACTCATTGATGTCATCCAAGTATGTTAGTTCAGCACTCAATCGTATACCTAGAGAAGAAGGGGGGAGCCTGGAGAGGTCCTGTATTAAATAGCATATAGACAGGTTTTTATTTTCTAGTTTAAATACAACACAACAGAAACAAAACGTATGAATGAAGTTAAGTCTTAAAAATACAGTGGACTGATGGAAACATATTTCACAATTCTTCTTACATTGCGTTTAAGAGTAGTATTTATCGTGGGTTAACAACCCAGTTTTATAGCCAATCAGAAAAATTAAACAGCATATTATTACACTTCCTTTAGAACTAAAACGCTTGTACTTTTTAAGGTAAAAAACACATAAATGAACAAATGTAAAACTAATGGACAGGACCATTTACAATATAAAGACATCATTGAAGCCAAATGTTTCTTTGGAAAAGTAAAGCATACTGAAAGCCTCTACTTAAAATAACAGTATTTTAATGTTGGCTATAAATTTTCTTCCCATTATCCATTAGTATCATGAAATACAGGAAAAATACAATGATAATTAATTTACACATTGTAAATACTACTCTTACAAAAACATAAGTTTTAACCTGTGGTTTAACTTGATCATGACGATTCTCTGGTATCATGGAATGTCTAACAGACACACTGTTTCTGGTGGGTATTACAGCATCAGACGATGTGGTAGAACTCCTATCAAAATAGATTCAATTGTGAAAAACCAAAAAAAAAATGAATAGCTTGTAATATTCTGAGAGTTTTTATTGTATCTTTCATACAGACCTTCAGAACATGATAAGAAACTTTTTTAGTAGAGTTAATTCACTTTTTTGTGAAAATTTCATTTTCTTTTTCAAAAATTGCCTAGTGTAATTATTGACAGCTTTCAGAGAGAAATTGAAATATGACTTATATATATATACATAGAGGTATTAAACAGCACATTAAAAAAATGACATTTATTGAAATTTTGAAAACAATAACACTTCGTTGTTACTTTTTGGCTAAATTTCACTAGTACTTTTTTATTTATCAGATTTTAGGTAAGCAGACACTGTCAACCTTGTAGAACAGATATATTCTAGAATTGCTGATTATAATACTCTGAACAGTAATAAAATCATGTTATGCAAGTGTATATGAAGTTCTAGCCAAGAAAGTAAAAAATTAGACATCATACATTACAGATTGGTTAATCATCATATATGTGGCTTGTGAAGTTCCAACCAGGAAACTAAAAAAATTAAAAATTATACATTAAAGATTGGTTAATTATTGTATGCATGGCTTATGAAGTTTCAGTCAGGAAAGGAAAAAAATGAAACATAATACATTATAGATTGGTTAATCATCCTATGCATTGACTTGTGAGCAACAACTTACCTCTGGATCACATTCTCATGTTTAGATTCAACACCTGAGAAAGGTTTCAACTCATGGTCTTCAGATCTTAAAGTTACTGAGCTACTAGTTTCCTTCCTACTCTCCTTTGATCCTGAGGCATTCAGTGCTGATATTCTGCCTTCAGACAGTGTACCTGAGGACAAACTTCCTTCACTTAGTGTATCACTGACATCTAACTCCTCGTACGAGTCTTTTCTGGATACAACTGCATTTAGAGATGTTTCTTTAGAGTTCTTGTTTGACGGAACTGTCTTCTCAGCTGAGTCCTTCTCTAATACAGCTACACTAACTTGCTTCTTAACAGAAGGATATATCCTTGAAGAAATCTCATCAACCTCATCCTGTGAATTAGTAAAACCACCACTGACTAAATCATTTCTCTTCTCACTAACTGTTAATGAGGAAGAGCTTGTGTTGTGAGAAAGGGATTCTGACAAAGTGTGTAACCTAATGGATGTTTCAGAAGATTTCACACTGGATTCAGTGAAATCTGCACTGTACTCCATATCAGGTGAAGTTTTTGATGCAAGTTGAAGATTTAATTTAAAACTACTGTCTGTTTTACTTTGGATTCTCTGCAGTGGAACTGAAATGCAAAAAAAATTCATAAAACCAATCACTTTAACAATAACATATGCAAGTCACAAATTATAAGAACAAACCATTTCTATATCATTCATGAAACACAGAAATCAAGTCCAATGATTTACACACATAGATAGTAATTTTATAGACACCACTAAAATATTCTTATATTATTAATAAGTACTAATAATATGCACTTACACATTTGCTTCTGCTGCCAAGCACTGATAAAATTGAAAGGATCTGGTGTTCTGGGGATATTCCAGTTGGAGCGAAATGAATATTTGTGTTTTAAAGTCTTCTCTGAATTATCTTGCCATGCCTCTATAAGCTGGTAAAATAAACAGTAAATAGAGGTTTCTTTTACAATAAAACATTTAGGTTTCAAACTATTAACTTAGAAAGTTTAGTTTATATGTGCTTACTAATAAACATTAACAATAATTTCTAGATCTTATAAAATCCAATTCAAGGTCAAACTGAAGAAGAAAGGTCCACCATTCAAAAGCACTTGGGTTATAGGGTATCATATTTTTGTGTTAAATAGATTTCTTAGACCTACATATTTTTCTAACATCATGAACAAAGACATAGCTATGTGCCTGGGTATTTGTTAATTGTGGGATTGTTTGATTTTATTAATAAGGCTTCTCTGATTTTTCTTCTGTTAATGTAAGATTCTTGTTTTAGTACTGTGAAATTCTGTTCAGAAAAACTGTGGTTGTTTTTGTTCATACATTCATGGACTTTTGGGTTTTTGGTGTTCTTTTAACTTAATCTTATTGGATATACTAAACCTTCTATATATAGAAAGAATCTAGGTTAAATTCTCTGTTTACATATTCTTCTTTCAAGCTCCCACTTTCAACACATACACAGTTGCGATTTCTCAGTCAGTTATACTTAATTAAGTTAAACGTTTGTAACCAATGGAAAAGCCATATTTTAAAAAACATTTTCTCAACAGTTAGTTTAAAATTGTCATGAAGAATTCCATAGAGAACTTGTCAAATGCTCTTAGCATTGTTTTTGCTCTTCTTCTCACTAACTTATAATTAAGAATATAACAGAAAAAACAATTTAAAATTATTTGACAAAAAAATAAAAGGTATGTATATTATCTTTTATTTTAAACATTTTACTCCACAAACATTGGTGATAAAACTTGAGATATTCATAGTCTGAATGCAGATAACTAGAATACAAAAATAACATTTCTTTAGTTAAAATACTTAATTAAAATAATCTCATTCTTTGTGTACAAAATACTTTTAATATTTAACAAAATCCTACCAATTGTTGTGAAGATACATTAAGAAAACTCAGTTATTATAAATATTGTTGCACTGTATATCATTCTTCATATGAGTCTATGCCAAATGGACTTACCCATAACCATGAGATTAAATACTAAAACATTCTGTACCATTAAAACCTGTGTACTTTGGAATAATTGAACCATTGATCAAAACATTTTAACTGTTCAAAAAATATTGTTCCTTACTGTAACTTGTAATAAAATAATCAAGCTTTCCTTTCCACTAACTGACATACTAAACCTGCTTATATTATTCGAAAATTTTTCAATTCCATGATCTCAAAGACTAAAACTTATCACATTAAGAGTTTTCCTCCCAAAAATGTGACAGAAGTGAAAGCATTTGCACAGTGGTTTTTATAACATCTGAAAAAGTAGATAAGTTTTCCTAACAACCATGTAACAGAAGTGAATACATCTGCAAAGTAGCTTCTTTAACACCTGACAAGTAGGTAAGTTTCTCTCAACCATGTAACAGAAGTGAAAACATCCATCTGCAAAGTAGCTTCATTAACAACTGACAAGTAGGTAAGTTTCTCTCAACCATGTAACAGAAGTGAAAACATCCATCTGCAAAGTAGCTTCTTTAACACCTGACAAGTAGATAAGACTTCCTGCCAACCATATAACAGAAGTGAAAACATCCATCTGCAAAGTAGCTTCATTAACAACTGACAAGTAGGTAAGTTTCTCTCAACCATGTAACAGAAGTGAAAACATCCATCTGCAAAGTAGCTTCTTTAACACCTGACAAGTAGATAAGACTTCCTGCCAACCATATAACAGAAGCGCAAACATCTGCAGTGGTTTCGCTAACAACTGACGAGTTTTCCTCTCAACCACATAATAGTGAAAGCATCTGCACAGTGGTTTTACTAATATCTGACAAGTAGGTAAGTTTTCCTCTCACCCATATAATAGTGAAAACATCTGCACAGTGGTTTTACTAACAACTGACAAGTAGGTCAGTTGTTCCTCTCAACTATATAACAGGCATGAAAAAATCCATATGCATAGTTTCATTAACATCTGATAAGTTGATAAGTTTCCTGTCAACCATATAACAGACGTGAAAAGATCTGTACAGTGGTTTTATTAACATCTGACAAGTAGGTAAGTTTTCCTCTCACCCATATAATAGTGAAAACATCTGCACAGTGGTTTTACTAACAACTGACAAGTAAATAAGTTTTCCTCTCACCCATATAATAGTGAAAACATCTGCACAGTGGTTTTACTAACAACTGACAAGTAAATAAGTTTTCCTCTCACCCATATAATAGTAAAAGCAGTGGTTTTATTAACATCTGACAAGTAGGTAAGTTTTCTTCTCACCCATATAATAGTGAAAACATCTGCACAGTGGTTTTACAAACATCTGACAAGTAAATAAGTTTTCCTCTCACCCATATAACAGTAAAAGCAGTGGTTTTACTAATATCTGACAAGTAGGTAAGTTTTCCTAATGACCATGTAAAAGAAGTGAAAACATCTGCACAGTGGTTTTACAAACATCTGACAAGTTGCTTTCTTCACATTTTTAAACAGAGATTCCATTTCCACATACTATCAAGCCATATTTACCTGGATTGTCATATAAACCTTAAAAGAAAGAAAATCTAGTCATACTACATAAGAGTTTGGGGAAAATGAACTCTCTAATTATATACTATATATTATATAAAAAGTGAGGACAAATACTACACAAGCAAATTATTTTTATCATCTGAAAAATGAAAAACTTGCAAACTGGTAGACAATGCTTTTCTTTCTGCCATCTCACAAGTGTTACAGAAAGATTTTCTTTCCATCATCTGCTTATGAATTAGAAAACTTATAAAACCATTATATTTGGATTTTGTTTGCATTGTCTGACATGAAGACACCCTACTGAGATGGTAAAATTTCGTTTTCCTTTCTATTATCTGAAAAATGTAAAAACTTACTAATCTTGATAGACTTAACTCTGCTTTCTTTGATTTGTGAGAAATGGCCAACCAGCAACTTTCTTTTATCTAACAGAAACTAGCAATTTACTTACCCTTTTAGAACAGTTTTCTTTTCCATCATCTGATAGAAGTGGCCCCTCACTAAGGCTGTCATCTGTATCCTGGAAGGAGAACAAGTGAGATTTTAACAAAAAGAATAAAATTATAAAACTACATGTTGTTAGTATTTCTTGCAGATTTGATGAATGGAATCCTTCACTCTGAGTTTATTAAAGATTAGAACATGAACTGTAAATAAAGGATAAAATAAAATCATTCCAATTACACATTATAAGAGAGGCAACCTTTTAGAAATAACAAATGATTTCTTATGTTGCTGCTAATGATTGTAACAATTATTATGTTTTGGATAAACATATGATACAAGAGGTTATCAACTTCACTCACACAGTTGGAAAAAACCTAAGTTTCTTTGTTAAAGTATCACATTTGCAACATTTTATTCTGAGCATATGACTCAAGAAGTAATTTATTTGGCTAAAACAGATGCAAAACTTTTACATTTCCTTTTTGAAGTATCACTTTTACAATGAGATTATCATTTTAATGTAAACATTAAAGCATTGCTATTAGAAGTGTTCTGATTTTAATGTAAACATTTGACCTAAAAAGTTATTCAACTGACTGAAAAACTTAAAAAACCTTAACTTTCTTTGTTGAAGTATTACTTGAATGATAATATCGAAAATATTAATGTGTACTTTTGTTTTACAGTTAATGATGTTGTTTGTTACTTGTAGACAAAATATTCTCACATGGTATTAACCCTATCACTACACGTTCTTCTATGGTCAGGGGTCAAAGGGCAAGTCATCACATTTGTAGACTTATATTCAAAATTTTATTGATCTACTATTTTATGAATGTCTACCAGTAAGTTTGCTATCACATTGTAGATTATAATTCAAATTTTAGTATCATGCATTAGTCAATTCCTTAATTTAAAAGTAAATATTAAAACAAAATTCCTAAATATCAATTTTTATGCATCATGTGGTATGTTGAATACAGCTTTCTTTCAAATTAGATGTTTATGATGTCCAAATACAAAGTCTATAGTTTCTTATGAATTACAAACTCAAATTACCAATACTGACAAGTTAGAATATAAAATAAGAACCTCCTATCTTTTCTATTTCCTGAGATATCACTACATTTAGTGGATCAAACATAGTGGGTCCCACCCACCCACATCTTTCATTTTTGGAAACACTTACTTATGTACAACTACCTCACTCTATGATGTATGTATAACCAATTGAAAGCTCAGAATGTTCCCTACATGGTTTCTCAACCTTTGTGAAGTGTTTACATAGGAAAAACCTTCCTTTTTATGGTAGAATAAAAGTGGAGAGGTAAGAGGTAATGGAGCTTGAAATATCATATTTGTAGACTCAAATACAGCTTAGTTACTAAGCCTGATAAAATTATAGTGGAATTCTGTGGTATACATATAGTAGTTTACAATTCTTTATTTTAAAATGCATTTATAAAACCTAAAAAAAAATATTTTGTTTTACATCCTCCACATGTGAAATTTGATGAGGTTTAGCAAATTACAGCAAGTACAAACTTTGTAAGTAAGAAGAGATCATTGTTTTCTATATTTCTTTAATTACTGTTCTATGTTGTAAGAAAAATAACTGAAATTTAAGAGCTTATTTGTAATTATTAATAATATATATACACATATGTAATGGATTATAACCAAAATGTGACTGTATTTTACAAAATACTGGTCCACTAGAACAAAGTCAAGACAGATCACTTTGTAAAGATTAGTTTTATATTATTGGATATGGTACCATGAGTAAATGTGCACCGCATCATTGCAACTTCTGTAATGTTAGTCAGACAAGGCTGAAAGGCCAATAAAATAAAAATAATAAATGTACATAGATGTGTAATGTTATGAGAATTTAAGCTATTTAGAATAAACATTTGTGGTTACCTGTTATAATTTGTAGTCATTCTAGAATGAAAAAAGTATAATTTATATTTATTTCCTAGTTTTTTTATGGTGGTTATGAGGTCGTTTAAATCAACCAAACCCATACACAGATACAACAGTGAAAATAACAAATAAAATATAAACTTTTTTCTATAAAAAAACATTTGATAATTATCTGGAGGTTATTAGGAGATTATAAAGATTTTCCATGTAAAGTTTTAGAATTTTCTGATGCATAAAAGTATTTTAAATCTTAGAAAATCAAAATTAGAAAATATTAAACTAAATAAAAAAAATCTGATATTTTGTGTACGAAAGCCTTGTAATGTTTGCTAATAATCTATAAAATTTTGTGAAGTTACAGTATGAAAACTATAACAAGCACAAAATGGTTCTTGGGACTGAACCTGTAGTGAGAGAGTTAATGTGTAATTTTCTTTTACACTTAATGATGTTGTTTGTTATTTGTACACAAAATATTCTCACAATATTAATGTGTACTTTTGTTTCACACTTAATGATGATGTTGTTTGTTACTTGTACACAAAATATTCTCACGATATTAATATGTATTTTGTTTTACACTTAATGATGATGTTGTTTGTTACTTGTACACAAAATATTCTCACGATATTAATGTGTACTTTTGTTTTACACTTAATGATGATGTTGTTTGTTACTTGTACACAAAATATTCTCACATATTAATGTGCTACTTTTGTTTTACACTTAATGATGATGTTGTTTGTTACTTGTACACAAAATATTCTCACATACTGTTAATGGCTACTTTTGTTTTACACTTAATGATGATGTTGTTTGTTACTTGTACACAAAATATTCTCACATACTGTTAATGGCTACTTTTGTTTTACACTTAATGATGATGTTGTTTGTTACTTGTACACAAAATATTCTCACATACTGTTAATGGCTACTTTTGTTTTGCACTTAACCCTCTCACCATGGGCATCCTTTAATGCGCATGTTACAAGGTTTTTAGTGAGTTATATTCAAAATTAAATTAAACTACTTTTTGTTCATGTTATACCAATTAGTATAGCATAAAATCATAGCTAATAACAGCCGCACATTCCCCAGGTGTATTTCAACTTATAATGGCGAGAATAGTTGTTAGACATGGTTCAGAAGGTAATAAAACAATGAAATTTATGTATAAATAAATGTATACTGTTACAAGTTTAAAGCAAATTAGGATAAACAAATTTAGTTTCATGTTATAATCTGAAGTCATTATAGAAAGAAAAAAAGGGTAATTTAGACTTTAGATATTTTTTGTTGGTTACAAAGTCAGTCAATTTGACTGACTTTGTATAAATTTAGGGTAGAGAAAATAACAGATAAAATATAGTTTTACTGAAAAAAAACACGTTTGATATGTATTTATGTGGTTTTAGAGATTATGCAAATGACATTTGAGATTTTTGAGTTGAAGAAAAGTATTTTTAATTATAACATGAAAATCATTTTGCACTGAGACTGGTAAAAAAAAAAAAAAGACCTGATATATTCACAGACAAATCTTTAGTAAATATAATGATTTTTTGTGTAGATATGCATACTGTTTTAAATGTTGTTATATTAAAACTATATACAATTAAAAATTGTCACATGGTTGGTCCCTTGGACTGAGCCCCTACTAAGAGAGTAAATAACATTGTTCTTTGTTTATAAATAAAATATCCCTACATGGTATTTGTATATGTATATTTGTTATTTACACTTAATAATATTATTTGTCTTTATAGACAAGTTATTGCTACCTGATATTCATGGGCACATTTATTTTATAACATAATATTGTTTGTTATGTTACTTTACACAAAATATTTTTTCATGTTCTCTTGGTTTACATATTCTACTGCTTAGGCCAATACTGAAAGACATTTAGAGAAAGGTGAATTGAAAATAAAAGGTCTATATGTGTGTGTGTATGGCTATCATCTGCAGCTAGAATTTCATATTTACAACCTTCTTTATTTAAACTTTGTAGTAATTATTTTAATACTGCTAATATTAACAACAGCTGAAAAACTACTATTCTCTTCACTTTTCTAAAAGTTATGAAGTGTACATCTAAGTTCCTAGAAATATAAAATATATATTTAACTCAATCAAAGATAACAATCAAGATGTATCCATACTTTTATAGAATTTCAAGTACTGTACATCTAACTTTCATAAATGTACAAACTTACATCCCTGCTACAGTACAAGCATGTATTTAATCAATCAAAGATAACAATCAAGATGTACCCATACTTTTCTAAATTTAGAGAAATAGATATTAGATCTAACATAAATATATAAAAACATAAACTAAAACAATGGTTAGTTATATGGTTGTTGTTGGTTAAAGTTACAAGACCATATTTACTCAGAGATTCTGACTGTCTGATACATGTGCTGTTCCCCAGTGTTATATGAAGTGTACTGGCTTTTGTTATTTTTATACTACCATTACTTTGCACACTAAGAACAGAAATACCTTTTCTTCAGATGCAAAAACAGATGATACAATCATATTATTTTCCCTCAATTTTCTTAACTCCTTCCTGGTTTTATAGCCTCGAAAAACTGACTGAATCTTCACAGCTGCTTGAGTGAGTTTGTGATGTTGTTGCTTCCTTTGATGAGCTCTAAGGTCTCCTATACCTAGTGGAAGAAAAATCACAGCCAATTCACTATCAAAATGGTAACACCATAAACGTATAATTTAGGTTTTATCCTTCTTATGGCCAAAGAACAATTGCTTTTAAACAAGATTATTCAGGCACCATTACAGCAGCAAAATAATTATTTTGATTAATTTTTATTCTTACAATAAGATATTGCCTATTAGTCTGTCTACAGCAGATACATAAACATTGAACACACTTAATCCACGTTTGACTTAAAGCACAGAAAACCCAAGTATCTATGCAAAAAAGCCTGATTTAACTAAAAAATCTATGTAAAAAGTTTGATTTAACTAAAACCACATAAGTTAACATTTTCCTTACCTGAATATGTATTACCAATAGATCCTCACCTCTTCACACCGAAAGCTATCTTCCCTGTGTACCTACCTTAGAAATTTGTATGCCTTTAGCCTTAGCCATCTCTCACCTAATCTCAGAAGTTTTCTCGTGAATTGGGCTACTGCATAATTACATTATTATGTAGCAAAAGCCCTCCACCAATAGGAGAATGACACAACCTCATTGCACAATAACTCCCTCTATGCTTTTGCACTCATGAATTTTTATTCTTGACATGGCAAGTATGTCTAAAATGCACCAGAAGTGGGAAAAAGGGTGGGATGTGTATGAACTGGTATGTATCGGAAAAACATTTTCAGGTAAGGAAAATTTAAAGTTCTGAGATGATACACAACTCTTCATACAAAAAACATAAAATCTCATGTTGATATAGAGGAGAGACCAGTGCAAGTTTTTCCTAGATGAGTTCCATTCAGAAAACATCAAAAGGAAACCCATGAAGTGTGACCACATCTCATCTCCTCCAGGGTACACTCTTCATTCAGAATAGAAGGGAGGAAGAGGTAAACAAGACGAACGTGTCGCAGGTATGGGCAGAATAAGAACATGGCTTTGTGAATAGTTGCACACAAGCTTGGAGAGCCGATATGTGTAGCATGGTTAGGGCATGTTCAGCATGTACCTAGTGCACAACTCAACTCTACCCTCAGACATTATTAGACTGACATTGACTGCAGGAGAAGGGCATAGAGATTATCAGTGCACGTTCTACTCAACTCTACCATCAGACTCTTAGACCAACACCAGCTGCAGGAAGAGTGCACAGAATTTATGCCACAGTATGTAATGTTGGTGTGTCTCACCTCAACTCTACCTTCAGATTCTTTGACCAACACCAGCTGCAGGAGGAGGGCATGGAAGTCATGACATAAAGAATGTAACATTAAGATTGGGTGAGTTGACTCGACTGGACAATCATCTACTGCAGGAGGAAGACACAATTTGTTAGTAAATGCTCACCTCAACTCACCTGAACAGGAGATGACTGCAGGAGGAGAGTACAGTCTTGTAATGTGCTCAACTCAACTCTATTGAACAGATGCAGACCAAAGGAGGGGAACACAGTATCATATGAAGTGCTTCTGGCATGTTGTTGGTATAATTATAAGAGGGTTGACCTGCACTATGCTGACAGTGTCACCACTGCCACACTTCCCGCCAATTAGCACCCTTTTTTCTAGCCCCAGCAGTTAGGTCCCAAACAGTGAGAGTCCTCCATGATCCACCAACCTAGTTCAAGAGGTGACCATGGAAACAGGCAGAGCACTCACTGGTGCTGGCTTTTTCCATGATAATTTATGGAATAGGTACAGTCTGGATCAGACACTAGTCAAATATCAGAATATGTCAAGAGGATACCTCAAGTGATCTTAAGGAACACCTTATCTCCACGGTGGATATATATGGAGCCAGAGCAGATGGTATGATGCAAAATTTTGGGAAATATGTATAACCCAGGATGCACCACCACTGGTATCCTGTTGACAAATGCTATAAACCAAAAGGAAATGTACTTACCCATCTAAAGATGGTGGGTAGACTACAATGGTGAACAGAGGCAGGCAATGACCTATGGAAATGAGACAGCCAGATGGTTAACAGAGTGAGAGACAAAGTTATGTGAGGCACTCCACATGCTACCTTGAATGGTCTCATTCAGCAGCCATTTGAAATGAGTGACGATAGAATGAGAGAAGTGACAAATCTGATGGGATGAAATGAATACAATCTGTAAGCAACAGCCCTCACTGAGGAGTAATCCAAACAAAAAATTTGGTAGACAAATAGAGTCCCTAGTCAATGCCAGGACCCAAGGTAAAGGATAAAAAGATAGGTGAGCATTAGGACAAGAGTAAGATCAGAACAGGCAGAAGGCAGCAATAGCCAGAACTGAGGGATGGAGAACAGATGACCAGAGGAAAGAGAGCATGAAAGTGAGAGTGCTGGCAAGGCAAAAATACGTGAAGTCCCTACGAGAGCACCTGAAAGGAAACTGGGGAAGAAGAGACCACCTGCAGGCAGAACATGATCCAGCCAACAGAGGCAGTCCGAAAGCCAGTTCATAGTACCTGTTATATGGCAGTTAAGGAAACCAATCCATTGAGAACTGGCCTAAGAAGGAAGGTCCAGGGTTTGACAGCAAGGGATTCTGAATTGGATTCCCCCATAGCAGTTAATTTAGGAAGAACCAAGGAGTTATTGGAATGGAACATAATGATCCACCAGTGTACCAGATATTCGAGCACATGGATTTGGAGAGCAGACTCAACCTGGTTTCATGTGCCAAATATAAAATCCACATTTAGGCATGCTCCCCAACAAGAAGGGGAAGCTTAGCTGAAGAGGTGTAGGTCCAGTTTAGATGGTGATATTGGATTGGTCCTGTCACTCATACAAGTTGTAAAATGGAGGAAGTGACAAGAGAACCATTGAGGTAAAAAAATCCTGTGAGGTGACCCGCTGGTCATGCAAGGACCAATGGAGGACGTGCATATGTGTGTGACCCAAGGGATAAGCCATCCCCATCAAGCCAAGGTACCCAAATACTAAACCTCACATGCAGATTGAGCAGGATAGGCACAAATCCTAGTGACTGCAAGTTCCATAACATGCAGTCAGATGGGAGAAGGCTGATCCCAGCTGAGAAGGAGTTGAAAAACAAACCACCCTGGTGAATAACATATTGAGTGGGAGGAGGAATTGTTGGAAGTGATGACGAACAAATTTTTGAAGAGATGTTGAAGATGAGGGCTGAAAGGAGGAGGGGAAGGGAATTGGAGAGAGTTCATGGGTAAAAATTAGAAAAATCTGTGTGGATGGAAATGTGACAACAGGAGCTGAAATTGTAACTGCCAAGCACTCATGGGACCCGACATGACTGAAATGTCACAGACGAGCTCAATGAGTCTGACACTGAGTAGAAGAGGAAAGCTGGAAGTGAAAAGACAGGGAACTAGGGATCAAGACAATGTACAATGGTGAAGGGAGTGTTGAGGACAAGGGGGAAACAATATACAAAAGTGAGGATTGATGATGGGAAGCCTCAGCCAGTGATTCAATCAAATCAGGAATACCTCCAAATTTCAGGGCAAAGAAAGAGGCGAGGCAAATGACTCTTAGAAAGGAAGAAAAAAGTTGTAATTAGGGTAGGAGAGTATCCCCACCAACCAACCCCCTAGTAACAAGGAGGTGAATGTGCATAGAATGGTAAAAGTGGAATGGCTACAGAGTAGAAGTGAACGGAACGAGAATCATCTGCAACTTTCTCTAGGGCATGGTGGAGTGCCTCAGGCTTGAGATGTAGAGAGCGAAGGCAAAAAAGTGTAGTAAAAAGGATCAGACAAAGACAGGAGTAATAGGTACTGGAGAGCAAAACCAATGCCTATAGTCTGCCCCCCTACCAATAGGCAAGGGCAATCCTAAACATGAGACTTGCGAAAGAGGATGCAGAATGACTAAAATTAAGAAAATAAGAATGAGATAGATGGGAATGGCAAGGCTTGATGTTACAGAAACATAAGTGGTCTAGAAATAGTAAATGAAATGAATTGGGGTTAGGATTAACCCTTTGACAGTGGCCTACTCACTCAATAAGGAGGTTATGTAACTATCGCGAAGTCTGTTTACAAGAACCTTCCTAAAAGTATGTAGTTTCAGAAAAATAGTCAATTTTGATTTTTTTTGTACTATTTCTACTAAAAATTAGGTATTTAATGCATTTATTTGTGCAGAGACTCTGAATAGTTCACCTGCAAGGTGATTTTCATGTCAAGTATAAAAATATCATTTTATCATTCAGTTTTCACATTTCACTTGCATATCTCTAGAACCTTCTAAATGAAAATCAAAAGTTTTTGAAGATAAATGTTTATATTTTATTTTCCATTTCCTCTACCCTATCACTAAATCTGGCTGTTATAATCAGTGTTCAGTGCAATGAAAAACCTAAAATTAAGAAATAGAAACATATACATACTTATTATCTGTTAAACTATCTTCTTCAGGTCATATGTATAATTTCACACCTTTACATTTTCACTTATATTTTTAATGTTTTATTTTCCTTTTCTGTTCTTTTTCTTTCATTATTTATGTCAACACACCTCAACAGGTGCCTGCGGGCAATATAACATTGTCATCAGTAAAGATGATTTAGAGATAATTTATTGAAAAGCTTGATTTAAGTAATACAACAAAAAGAAAGTATCTATATAAAAAAGCTTGATTGAACTAAAACCACATAAAGAGTTTATCTATGTAAAAAGCATGATTTATCTAAACCAAAAACAGAGAGTATCTAGGTAAAAAACTTGATTTAACTAAAATCACATAAAGATTGAACTGTTTAAAAAACTATTTACATAGGTAATTTCACTTTCTGTACTCTTATTAAAATCAAGCTTTTTAAACAATTCAATCTTGATTACCAAGAAATTAACAATTTATAAGCTGAATGTTCTGGTAAAGTAAAAGAAATTAAGAAATTTATGGCTTCACATACTGATCCACACAAAGTTCAGCAACTGCAACTGAAATGCTATGAAGAAAGTGTCTTCAAAGAAAACTGGCTGCTGTCTGCGGAATCGATGATAATTATATTCAAGATATTTCACT